GGGGTGTAAGGACCCGGGCCTCAGTGCTCAGCTGCCCCCAGGCCCTCTGCAGAGACAGGAAGTGCCCTGGGGAAGAGCAAGGTGCTCAAAGCCTCATCCAGGGCCCCACTCTGTCCCTCAGGGATCCCCAATCCAGAGACCGTCTGTAGTGCAGAGATAGAGCAGAGACTCCTCCGAGGATGCTGCTCACACCCGGGTGGGGGCTTGAGCGCTGGGCCTTGGGCCTCACCAGCAGCAGCTGCACTGGACCCCTGGCTCTCCTGGGCTGAGAGACGCCGCCACTGCAGCCGCCCCACGCTGGCGTCCTCCCAGCCCCCGGCCTCGAGGGACTCAAAGTCTGTGGTGCCTGAAACAGCAATGGGCACTGAATGGCAGAGTCCTCAGCCCGCCCCGGCACCTACCCCCTTGGCTCCTCAGCAGGAGGTCTGCAGGAGGCTGAGCCCCTTTACCGCAGGCCTGCTCGTCCTCGCCCCCTGCGCACTGCTCCTCGAAGTCACACAGCTGTTCCGGGGGCACACACAGGTCCCCGCAGGCAAAATGCCCCTGCTTGCAGGAATCCTGGAGCCGTGAGCTGGGTGGCAGGGGCTGGGGGGCTGGGGCCCAGGGCCCAGGAGGCAGTGGCTGCAGGGTCGACACCTCTGTGGGGGCAGAACTGGGTCAGGTGGCAGGAATGGGGAGTGCTGTGCCTCTCCAGGGCAAGGCAGGGTAGGGCAGATTCAGCAGGCTCACCCGGGACTGGTCTGCAGTGGTCAGACAGGATGAGGTCATCCAGACCCACGACGCCCCCCGGGCCTGTCTGCCCGGCCAGGAGGATCTGAGGGCAGAGGGGCTCAGGGGGTGCCCAGCCTATTTTCCCCCGGGGTCTGGTCCCTGTCCACCCTCAGCAGGTACCTTGTGGGTTCCCCTCCCCTGCCCCCAGCCTGGCTCCCCAGACCCCACCCTCTTGCTGTTCCCTACCTGGAAGGGGTGGGCGCTCTGGATGTCAACACGGTCTCGGACCCACGCAGTCCCCAGCTCCCCTCGGCGCCTCCGCAGCAGGACGGGAGCCTGGGGGGCACTGGACCCCAGAGTCTGCAGGAACAGCTGGAGGCAGCCAGCCTCAGAGCCATGCAGGTAGTGATAGAAGATCAGCTGTGGAACCAAGAGCTGGCTGGGGGCCCTGCACCTGGGCAGCCAGCACGGAGGCCCTGTGAGCCCCACCCATCTCACCGAGCAGTTGGAGGCGCCTGAGGCTTGGAATTCCGGGCTGGAGAGTATAGCAGGGGTGCCAGGCTCGGCCACAGAGACCAGGAAGGAGCCTGCGGGAAAGGGCGGGAGTGGGCCACAGCCGCTAGGCTGTGGCCACATGGACGGGGCCTGGGCCGGGTCCCCCGTGGGCCTCACCCTGTGCACTGTTCCGGCTGTGGTCACGGCGTGGCCAGGAGGGGCGCTCAGGACCACCAGCGCTGTGGCTCCAGGACCAGCCTTCCGAGCGGTTCCATGGGCCCAGGCCTGTCTCAAAGTCGGTGGCTGTGTGGTGGCCTAGGGCGGGAGGTGGGGGTGTCAGGGCCACTAGGCAGTGCTTCCTGCAGCCGTATGACCCCAGCTCCAGGGTGGCCCTGGCAACCACACCCCCAGAAGGATCATCCCAAGGATCTAAGGTGCCCCCTCCCGGATGAGTGTGAGAGCCCCCACCAAGGTGTCCAGTGTCCCTGCCTCACTCTGGGCCCCCACCCTGGCCTCACCACAGGTGAGTGGGTCCTCATCAGACAGGTCCCCGCAGTTGTCTTCCCCGTCGCACAGCTGCTGGGGCTCCACACAGACCTTGTTGTGGCAGTGGTGGTGTCCCAGGGGGCAGCTGGCCTGGGGGCCTGGGTAGGGCAGGGTTAACCCTTCACCGAGGCCCCGGGAGTGGGAGAGCACTCGGGGGCAGACAGGGTCTGGGCAGGGGAGTGGGCAGGCGGGGCCCTCCCGGGGGTGGAACAGGAAGAGGCGGTGCCTTACTGGGCAGACCACAGTCCCAGAACTCTAGGTCATCTAGAGCCACAGCGCCCCCGTGGGTGGCATTTCGGGTGGCAGAGAAGGTCACCTGAAGAGAACAGGCCCTCAGGACCTAAGTCAGAGCCCAGACCCCCCCTAGGCTCCCACTCGTCCAGACCCTCCCAGCTCACTCGGAAGTCACCCCGGATGCGGCCTGTGGTCACTGCCAACTCCTGCCAGCCGGGGTCCCAGGACCCTGTGCTCTGCCACAGGGTCAGGGTCTCTGAGCCGTGGGTCACCTCCAGCCGCAGCTCAGCCACATCTGCAATGTCAGGGGTCCCAGGGCAGCTGCGGCCCTGCTTGTCCCCACCCGCCCTCCCCTTGGGCACCCCCCATGAGCCTTGGGGGTCCAGGGTGCACCTCCAGAGGCCGCATGGTACCAGAGCCTCAGCTTGCAGGAAGGGGCTGCCTCTCGCAGGGTTGGCGAGCGCAGGGCTGCGGTGGATGCCTCTTTCCCTCGGTGGGTTCCGACGGCCATGTACCAGCCTGGCCCAGGTGAGAGGTCAGGAGACAGGGCAGGGAGCAAGCAGGGTGTTGAGACAGGGCCGCGCAGAGACTCGCCCTGGCCTTACCCAGGTCGGTGCCCAGGGTGTGGTCTGAGTGAGGCCCAGGACCCTCCAGTGTGGCCCCCGCCCTGTCTCGGAGCCAGCTGTAGCCTGAGGTGCTAATGTCCCGCCAGCCGCAGGAGTCCTGCTCGAAGTCGCAGGCGAAGGGGGTGCCCAGGGCGGGCGAGGCCCCACGATAACCTGGGAGAGTGGGTGATCAGGTGTGCGCCAGACCTGCTCACACTGGCCCTGCCCGCCCATCTGGCCTTGGCTTACCACATTGGGCCTCATCTGAGCAGTCCCTGCAGTCACACACAAAGTTGCACGCGGCCTGGCCAGGGCTCCTGCAGTGGCTGGGGACCCAGGCCCAGCCTGGGGATCTTGCTGCGGGGAGGGTGACAGCCAGGGGGCCTGGGTGCAGAGTGATCAGCCATCCCAGCCTAGGACTATTCAGCCTGCCTAGGACTATTCAGTTTTGGCACTGGACATCTTTTGTCCAGGGAAGCCTCTCAGACCAGGAGATGGGGCAGGGAGGGACCAGGACCCATCAGAGAACTCCCACCCGGCTCTGGACCAAGCAGAGCATGCTCCTGTTTCCAGCCCTGAAGAGGCTGGGGAGGAGGGCCTGGGCCTGTGTGGGGATGAGCACCCTGCCATGGGCACCCCCAGAAAGGTAGCAGGAACCCAGTGTGCCCAGCAGTGAACTGGGCACTGGGAGGGTGACCCCCAATGGGAGGCACCAATGGGTGGCCCAGGGGCTTCCACAGGCTCCACCCAGTCCAAGGGTGGCAGACAAAGGCTGACAGAGCTGGGGGGCACCTCCTGAGCCCTCTTGTCCCAGACTGGGAGGGGAGTCTTGTCTCTTCCTTTGCTTGGCAGGCCTGAGGACCCCATGGGCTGATTCCAGGTCACCCCCATTGCAGACCGGCCAAGGCAGTGCCTGGCAAACCACCTTCCCTTTGGGGCTCAGGCGTCAGCCCTGGTGCCCATCACTGCCACACAGATGGTAGGCTCAGAAGCCAGAGCCCCTCGTCCTGCTTCAGGAGTGAGACAAACGACTTACCCAGTAACAGGACCAGGGCGGGCAGCAGGTGGCTGGGCAGAGGCATGGTTGGGCCAGAGGAAGCAGGGCCAGTGCGGCCACACAGGGTGCCTGGGAAGTTCTGTGCGGTTATGAGCCTGCACTGGCCCCACGCGCTGACTCTGCTGTTAAGTGGAGGGCCCCTCGGCCTGGCCCCACCCAGTGCTGACGGTGCCAAGCATAGGCCGGGAGAGCGGCCCCAGGAGGGGGCCTCTGACCCAGGGTCAGCTCCCACCTGCTCGGCTCCCTCAGACACAAGGTCAGGCCCTTCCACCCTGCCCTGCCCTGCCTGGTGGAGGGGAAGTTCCCACTGGAATGGGGAGGGACCCAGGCACCCCACCAGGACTCTGCTCGGCAGTGTGGGGTGGGCAGAGGCCGCCGTGGCCTCTCACTGTGCCTTTGGCACTAGCCTGGTGGTCAGGACTCAACCAGTCCAGTAGCTGTGGGAGTCCAGCATGTGCACCAGAGCCGGCCCCTGTGTTCGCAGCTGTGGGGCACCTGCCTCTGAAGGATCACCCCCTCATTCATTCACCCTGAGCATCCAGGTGCCATCTGGTGCCAGGCACAGGGTCCCTAGGAGCCCAGAAACTTCTGGTCCCCATGAAACAGACCCACACTTGGGGCAGGGCTCTTTGAGGCTGGGGAAGGAGTGTGGCATTTGGAGCCAGGACGTTTGTGATTTCCCACGGTGTGACCTCGGAGCTTGTGTCACTGAGCCTTGGTGTCCCGGTCTGTAAAATGTGGTCACGACAGTGCCCGTCTGGAGAGGCTGGCCGGAGGACCAGTGAGCTGACAAAGGTGGGGATGCTCTGTGTACAACCAGCCCTGGCCCCCAGGGTGCCCCTGCACCACCCCACGGAGTGCCACTGTGTCTGGGGCTTCCCAGGGCAAGGCCTGAACCCATGCCGTGCCCACAGCCCTGCCGGGTGCAGGAGGGACCTGGGAGGGGCCCCCAGAGTCAATGTGAACCTGCAAGGTAGGTGCAGCTGTGGGACCTGACCCTGGATACTGGCAGGCCCCATAGGGCTAGTCATGGAAGGAGCCTGCAAGCCAAGCCTCAGGGCAGACAGGACACTGGGGAGCCCTGGGATGGGGTCACAGGAGGGAGCACTGGTGGGTGCCCCAGGTCTTGGCCAGCCCGAGGGATCAGGCCCTGACTCCAAGATGCCCTGGAGGACAGTGACCGTGGGAAGAGCAATCAGGCCATCACCAGGGCCCCCTTATCAGACCCCAAAGGGCTGAGTGTGCACGGCCACTCCCTGGGGCCACTCCTGTGCTCCCCCACCCACCTGCTTTAGTTAGGGTCTGGGGGGCCCTGGAGGTGGTGACGCACGGTGCGGAAGCCAAGGACAGAGTTCAGAGACTGGGAGGCGTGGCAACACGTTTAATTCTGTGGTCAAGCTAGCCTGTCTGCAAAGCCTGGCAGACGGCACGTCACCAGGGGCTGCCGCAGAAGCAGGCAGGGCTAGCCCCAAAAGGGGTGCAGGCAAAGGCGGGGGCTCCGACATGGCTGCTGGAGGTAGCAGGCCCCAGGCTGGGAGTGCTCAGTAGCCATCGTTAGCCCAGGTAACCTCGTAGTCGGGATACTTGGCTTTGATTTTCTCAGTTGAAATGGCGTGCTGGGCAGGACCATAGGCCATGGAGTAGCCGTACACGTGAATCTTCTTGTCCTGGCTCTGGTGGGAGATGCGCCCGCCGCCCAGACACTCACAGTCACAGCCCTGCTTCTGCATGTCGCCCGACACTTTGTCGTAGATGTCCGCTGGGATGGGAGGGCGACCTCAGGACGTGCCCTGGCCGCCCTTGGAGGCCGCGGGAGGAACTCCCGGCCGAAGGGGTCTAAAATCCCAGCTCTGAACAGCCTCTTCCCCAGAGGAGACGAAGCCCCTTGAGGCTGGGACAGGGATGAATGAGAGGAGGGTGGAACCGGGGCGAGCTCGGGGACTGGGAGACTGCTCCACAGGCAAGCAAACCTTGAGGGTGGATCCTGGGGCTTGAGGCACCCAGAGGGACGCACGTGGTTCTCATCTGCTGGTGGTTTTTGTGAAGAGCACGGGCGGGGACTCTGAACTCCACCCAGGTACTGACTGCCTCTGGGGGCCCAGGGCGCAAAGTGCTGGAGGACAGCTAGAGCTCAGCAAGGCCTCCCGGGGCAGGGAGAGGGAACGGCAGGCCATGTCTGGGGGTCTCCCTCCTCCCGGGGCAGGGAGAGGGAACGGCAGGCCATGTCTGGGGGTCTCCCTCCTGCCCCTCAGGTCTGGCATGTGCTCCATGGGGGAATGCAGGAACACAACTGGCCCTGGAAGGAGGGCTCTGCCGCCCACCCTGGGAGAACCCCGGGAAGCCTGCGTGCTCATCTGGGGCCACGGGTCAGGGCAGCAGACTCAGGTGGGCCTCGAAGCTGGAACCGGGGCCTCCAGCAGGGCGGGACGGGGCTGCGGCTCACCATGGAGTAGCCGTACACGTGAATCTTCTTGTCCTGGCTCTGGTGGGAGATGCGCCCGCCGCCCAGACACTCACAGTCACAGCCCTGCTTCTGCATGTCGCCCGACACTTTGTCGTAGATGTCCGCTGGGATGGGAGGGCGACCTCAGGACGTGCCCTGGCCGCCCTTGGAAGCCGCGGGAGGAACTCCCGGCCGAAGGGGTCTAAAATCCCAGCTCTGAACAGCCTCTTCCCCAGAGGAGACGAAGCCCCTTGAGGCTGGGACAGGGATGAATGAGAGGAGGGTGGAACCGGGGCGAGCTCGGGGACTGGGAGACTGTCGTGAGGCGGGGGATGTCAGGCCGGGTCACGCCTTTCCCGCCCAGGACCTGAGCCTGGCTCAAACCTAGCAGGGGCAGGGCTGGGAGCAGAACGCAGTCAGCGGCCCGCAGCACCCACCCCGGCCCGCCAAGCCCCGCCCCCGCCTCGCCAGCCCCGCCCCTCGCACGCCGGCAGGCCCCGCCCTCACCATGGTACTCGGCCCACTTGTAGCCGCGCACGATCTCCTTGCTCTCCGCAGCCGGAGCGCCGGAGCGCGGAGCCGAGTGGACTCGGATCAGCACATACATGAAGACGGCACCGTCGAGTCGATGTTCCACATCAGGAATGGTGAACAGACGAAAAGGTCCCGCCGCCGCCGATGTTCTTCGTCCTGCGAGCCCCTCCTCCCACCCGAGTGCCCCGACAGGCCATCGACCCCCACCCGACCCGGGGTTTCCGCTTGTACTGCGGAAGGCGGGCTCTGGGCAAGCGGCCGACAATCCCGTCGGGGAATAGCTGCCCAAGACCCAGCGCCTCAAGCCAATTGACCGCCAGACCGAGGCACGCGCTAACCAATCGCATCCAGTTAATTGCCCCTTGCGGCCTGTCAGCCACTACCCCACTTAAAAGGAAACGTAGAACCGGGGATCCGGGGGTTGATTAAAATCCAGCCAACGGAACAACAATCCTCTCCCAGCGGGGTCCGTGGGCACCCCCTGAGCGGGGCAGTTAGGCCCCTGCCGAAGCCCTGGGGCAAGGGAGGGAGGCTGAGGGACGTCCACCTGATCTCCCGTCCCCGCACGTAGTCCGAAGACCACCTCCACTTCACGTGGCCACCGCCCGAAGGCCTCCCCCTCCTCCACGCGAAGGCCTCCCATCCTCCAACGCCGAAGGCCGTCCCCTTCCCCCTCCACCGCCCGAAGGCCTCCCCCTCTCCCTCTCTAGTCGCCCGAGGCCTCCAGCTCCTCCACGCTACGAAGGCGCGCGCGCCCCTCCTCCCCTCTCTATCGCCCAAGGCCTCCCCTCCCTCCACCGCCCGAAGGCCTCCCCTTCCCCTCCACGCGCCCGAAGGCCTCCTCTCGTTCATCCTTCCGAAGGCCTCCTCCCCCACCTCAACGCCCGAAGGCCCTCCCCCTCTCCCTCCAACCGCCCGAAGGCTCCCCCCTCTCCCATCTCCATCGCCGAAGGCCTCCTCCCACCCGCCCGCCCACCGCCCGAAGGCTCCCCCTCCTCCCTCCAAAGCCGAAGGCCTCCCTCTCCCCCCTCCCCCGGCCGAAGGCCTCCCTCTCTCCCCTCTCCACCGCCCGAACGCCTCCGTCCCCAACCCCGCTACCCGCACAAGGAGGCAACAGCAGCCGCTACATTCAAGTTCTATTTTACTTGGTTCGAAAGCTCTTGCCTCCTGGAAATTATTTCGGTCCAGGGGCGTTCCTGGCCGGCCCTCAGGGGTGGGGCCGAATGCAGAGGCCCTGGGGCAGGGGGCGCGGGGCGCGGCGGCGGGTGGGCAAGCGGGACGCCTGGCCGGTGCAGACGCGCGGGGACGAGGTGGGCGCGCCGGGTGCGAGAGCAGGAGCGGGGGCGGGGGTGCCCAGTTTCTCTCACTTGGTGTCCCCTTCCCTGGCTTCGAAGTAGTGCTAGGGACTCCAGGAGGGCCCTTGCGTTTGGCCTCCACCCCTCTCCCAGACACCCCACCCTCCAGAGAGCCCCGGGCGCGGACCAGCGTGCGCTTGGGGGGCAGGTGGAGGCCAGGCCCCCGGGCTTGCCCCTCCACGCCCGCAGGACGGAGTGCGGCCAGAGGGGGTGTGCGGGGACCTCTCGGGACAGGTCAAGCCCCTTCGGGTGGGTTTCTGTGCTTACCGACTAGCTCGCTCCCTCACCTGCTCGCACCACGCTTTCCCCTCCAGGCTCCCACCTGGGAACGCTCCCTGTCCCTTGGTCCTTCCTCTCCTAGCCAGGTGTCAGCTCTGGCCAGGCCGACATGCTCTGCTTCCCCTGCCCAAGTCCCGTGCCCTTTCGGCTGGGAGACTCGCCTATCGGCCTGAAGACCTCCCTGCGGCTTTTCCCAGCTCCTGCAGGGCCCAGACTGCAGCGACTGGAGGCGAGGGGACGGCAGGGCGCGTGGCGTGGTCGGCGTAACGAATCCGACTAGCGGGAACGCACCGCGCACCCTCGGCCCTGCCCACTGCCTCGCCGGGACGCGCTCGTGCACACCGACGCGCGAAGGTCGACCAGGGTGTTCTCCAGAGAGGAGGCACCCCAGCTGCGGGAGGCGGGGCGGGGCGTGTTTAAAGTGACAGACTGGGCTTTGGTTACGTCGGGCTTCCGGACGAGGGGAAACCGGAGTCGGGGAGGCTCCAGCGAGAGCCCCGCGGACCGACGGGGACCGGATCTGTACGGGTGGGGTCTGTGCAGTAGTGACCCCTCCGAGTGAAGGCAGAGCTGGGCGGTCCTCAGGCCCACCCCGCCTCCCAGCGGGGAGCACCGAGGGCGAGGACCGGCTGCTTCTGGGGATCCTCGAGGGCGAGCTGGGAGAGGGAGGAGACCCGGGAGAAGGGAGAGGGGTTACTGGGGGTGGGAAGGCGAAGAGCCCGTGAGGAACACTACAGGGGCGGAGGGCAGGGTGGTGGAGGCCTGGGCGGAGCTGGAGGCAGTACTGAGCGGAGCTTGGAGGGCCAGGGAATTAGAGGCGGGCCTAGGAGAAGCCGGGGTGGGGCCCTGGCGGGGCTCGGGGAAGGCCCTTGGGTGGGCCGGGCGGGGCCTGAGTGGGCAGGGCAGGGTTCGGGCCAGCGCCTGAGCTGGGCCTGGTGGGCCCCGCGCCTCACATGATGTCGTCCAGCAGGTTGGCGCTGGCCACCCAGTCGAGCGCGCGCGGCTCGGAGGCGGCCATGATCATGCACATGAAGGGGCGGCCGGTGCGCCGGTCCGTGGGGTAGATGGTGGTGGGCGTGAAGCGCCTGTTGGCCTCGACGAACTCGCAAAGCTGCTCGTAGACGCGCGGGAACTCGTGGCGGAGGAAGACGCCGCGAAGCCGCAGCTCGCGCTGGATGTGGATGAAGGCCACCTCGCGCGCGCGCCGGCCCGCCTCGCCCTCCTGATCCAGGCCCGCCGTGCCAGGCGGCGGCGTCAGGATCAGCGTCTCCATGTCGGGCTCGCGGCTCCGCGCCGGGGGCGGCCGCGCGGGGCTGCCGGCCGCCAGCGCTACCTTGGCGAACTTGCGCACTGTCGGCCCGTGGCTGCGTGGCGCGGGCGCGGGCAGGGCGGGTGTCCCCGGGGGCGCGGCGCTGGGTCCCACGGCCACGGATACGCTGAGCAGGAAGCACTCTGCCGGCTCGTAGAGGCGCCCAGCAGCCGCCAGCTCGCGGGCGTAGCTGCCCAGGGGCGCCGCGTGTGTGGCCAGCTCACGCAGCGATAGGTAGGTGGGGGACAGCAGCAGGCCCTCCAGGCCAAAGCGCAGGAAGTTGTCGGCGGAGCCTGGACTTGGGAAGCCCAGGAAGAGCACGCCGCGGCCGCGCGACAGGAAGCCGACACGCGCGATGCGCGAGAAGGCGCGGTGTACCGGGCCGCTGTCGCGGCAAAACTGCAGCACGTGGCGACACACGCTGCCCACGCGGCCGTACACGCAGCGCGCCTTGTGGGCGTCCCAGTCCTCGCGGCGGCACAGGCGCGAGCAGTAGTAGGTGTAGCAGCTGTGGCAGGACTTGAAATAGAGGCAGGCGTTGAACATGGTCTCCGTGCGCCGGCAGCGCGCATTGGAGCAGGTCATCAGGTCGTCCTCGTCGGCGCTGGGCTCGGGGGACGCGTCGGCCGCCTCTCCCCGGGCCGCGGGCTCCTCGGCGCTGCCGGCCGAGGCGGGGGGCGAGCGTGGCGGCGCCAGCGCGGGGGCCCCAGAGCCCGCGGGCCGCGAGTCCAGCAGTCGGCGCAGCTGGGGGCCCAGGCAGTCGGCCGCGGGCTCTGAGGCCTGGCCGGCGAGGGGCCGCGAGTCGATGACTAGGTCCGTAATGAGCTCGTCTAGCTGCTCTAGGCTGCGCTGGCGGCCAGGGGTGGGGCCCTCGGGGACCGCGTGGGGAGGTGGCCGCGTGCGGCCCCCGGGCAACTCCCAGGCCCTGGCGCTCGGGCGCTCGGTGGCGCGCAGGTCGTTGTCGGTGATGGTGATCTCGGGCGTCACGTACCAGTTGCGGCCCAGACCCTCGCCCGCGCGGCCCTTCTCCGTCAGCGACGTCTCGGACAGGGACAGTGCGGCGTAGCGTCTGGGCGAGGTGGACAGGTTCACGACGACGGGCGGGCGACGGCCTTCCGGGGACACGCCTCGCGGCTCCTGCACTTCGCGCCCTAGCAGGTTCTCGTAGCTGCGGCCGCGGCCCAGCGGGTCTTCTCGGCGCGGCCCCGGTGCCAGAATGTTGTCCCAGGAGCGCGAGTAGTGGCGGCTGTCGGTGACCAGCCGGGGCGGACTGGTGCCGGTGCCGCCGTGCCAGGAGGCGAGCAACGGGTCGGGGTCAGAGGGCGGCGCCACTTGCAGGGTGCGGTAGGGTCGCGGGCCCCAGTCCGCCCAGGCCGCGCTGCTGCGCGGGTGCGGGTACGTCCTAGCCAGGACGTCGCGCTCGCGGTACCGTCCGAAGTCCTCCGTGTAAAAGGGGCGAGCGGTGGAGTGGGTCCGGGGCTCCTCGGAGACATAGCGGGGCCCGTAGGGCAGGCCGTAGGCTCGGGGAGCCTCACCATAGTAGGAGCGGGAGGGCGGTTCCTGGATTGGGAAGGTGCGCACCTCTCCTGCGTAGTAGCCACCCATGCGCCTTGGACTGGGCCCTGGGAACTCCTCTGACCGGTAGGGCCTGGGGCAGTAGGCATCGAAGGTTGGGCCGGGGCTGGCCGCAAAGCTGCCCCGGAAGCCTTCGGGCTCCTCTGTGTAGAAGAACTGGGTGGGACCCGGCGGGGTGGCGAAGGGCAGACTGCGGCGCTCAGCGTAGTCGCGGGGCCCAGGTAGGGGCCCGTCGCAGTAGAGCGCCCGGGGGTCCGCACAGTATAAGTCGCTGGGCGTCGGGGTGCGCGACAGCGCCATGTGGCGGGGCCCGGGTACCGTGAGGCCGTGGAACTGCGGGGCGGGGCGGGCCCAGGGCGCGGCCTCGGCGGGCCCGCAGGACCGCGAGCCCCGGGCGGCGTGCTGGAGCACTGCGTCGTCCGGCTTGATGTCCAGGCGGCAGCGCACGTGGGGTGCGGGACCCGCGGGTGGCTCGGGAGGTGCGCAGCGGCCGCCGGCGGCGCACAGGGGCGCCATGCCGCCGGGGCCGCCCCGCTGCGGCTGCAACTTGATGGGGTGCAGCTCATTGGCGAGGGCGCGGAGCGCCGGGTACGCGGGCTCCCGGCGCGGCGATGCCTCGGCCCGTGCCGCACGCTGGGCCTCCCGCCCTCGGCGGGGCAACACCGGCGGCGAGGCGGGCGCGGGCGTCAGGCCCGGGGGCGCGCGGGGCGCGCTCTTGGAGCGGGCGCGGCGGCGTGGCTCGGCCTCGCGGGTCCGGGCGCGCGGCACAGCGGACTCCGGGGGCGGTGGCTCCGGCAGGGTCTCCATGGCCGGCCCGTCCAGCGCCTCCAGGAAGTCGAAGCTGCGGCAATGGCGCTTGTTGAAAGGCGCGGGCTCAGCAGGCCGGGCCACGGATCGCTCACATGGCGGGCGCCTGGATGCGGGTCCCGGGGCCGCCACCTTGATGTCCTGGTACACGGTTGACACCAGCAGGTCCGGAGGGTCCGTACGGGTCATCTTAAAAGAGGTCCCCAGGCTGGCGGCTCCAGCTCACACTGCCTTACGGGGCTTTTGCCCTGGGGGGAGACGCGGGTCAGGGCGGCCCCCTCCGCAGCCCAGGCCCCGCTACTCCCCCACGCTGGCCCGGCTTACCTGGGGCGCAGCGGGCGGAGTAGCCCTGGCTGCAGGCCTGGGCCGAGAATGCGGGCGCTTCCTCCATGCCGGGGTTAGAAGCACCTGCGGGAGGAACCCAGCTGTCCAGGCGCCCAGGTCCTGCCCCTCCCCCGTCCTCTCCCGGCGATGGGGCGGGCGGGCCAGAAAGGCTTAGCCGTAGCTGTGGTTCCCGCGGCGGGAGCTCCTGCGTGAAGCTCCAGGGCCTCCCCTCCCCCGACTAGTGACGGCGGGGCCGGCTCGGGTGGACCCCTTTCCGGGTGGGGTAAGGGAGTGGGGGCGTGGTCCTGGGGGCTGCGCCCTCTGGTGTCCGCAGCTGGAAGGACGGGGCGCATTTGGGCCTTATTTATAGGTGTTGCCCCACGAGACATTAGTGACTGTGCCCCCGTCACAGCGCCCACCGCAGAGCGACCCTTCCGATCGCGCACAGTCGAAGGCGAGTCGCTGGGTCTCAGCCTTAGCTAGCTCTGCACCAAGCAGGTGACACCAACCACCCCACCTGCTGGCCAGGCCGAGCACAGAGCCCCTCCCCCAGCACTGCAAGGACCCACGCCTAGGTGCCCTCAACTTCCCGTGAGCTCCAGACCAGAAAAAAGCCCCCAGAGAGCATACCTGGGCCCTAAATCTCCCTTTCGTTTGCCGACACCTCTTCTGACCCCAAGTATCTTTGGGTGGTTGAAGCAAGGCCCCAGCTTTGTGTAAACGCACAGGACACCCCCCTAGGGTGTGCACGGCAGTCCCAAGTCATCGAGCCATGAGCTCGTGGCAGCCCCTGTCCCCTGAGCTGCGCACCAGGCCCAGAAGCTGCCCACTGGGGGTGGGCAGGGCGGAGGGTGGGGGAAGACCCACTGCTTTGCAGGAGAGAGCCCTCCCCACTTTGCTGAGAAGGTTGCATGGAAACCTGTGTTTCTTAGGCCCCCACGCTGCAGGCTGGCCAGGGTTCAGATGTGGACTGCCAGCCCCTCTGTGGTCCCAGAGCCAGCTGGGGGGTGCGTCAGAGAGTGGCCACAGGACTGGCCTCTGCACATCCAACACCTGGTCTGGAGGGGTCTACCCCAGAGTGAGCCGGGGGAAGCGGGTACCTAGCCAGGCCCCTCGCGCGGCAGAACCTCAGGTGGCTGGGCCTCTCGGGGTCTGGCCGGGTCCCCCCTCTGTGTCCCAGGTGTGCAGGGGCTTCCTGCTGGCAGGGCTGTTTTTCTGGGTCAGGGCCACAAGTCCCAGGTCTTGTCCCCATCCCAGCCTCCCGCCCACCCCATCTCCCCCCTCCACCCCACCCGTGGCAGGACTGTCCACCCTCCTGCTCCCTCTTTCATGCTAAGCTCAAGGCCAGGCCGGAATCCGGGCGGATGACAGGGTGTGAGGCTCCACCCCAGGGAGGTGACAGTGGGCTTTGCTGGCTGAAGCTGTGGGTGACACCCTCTCCCGTGGGGATGGGGGTGGGGTCGGCCCCCTCGTGGGCCCAGGGCCTTCTGGAGCCCACCGAGATGGCTGGAGGCCTTCCCCACCTCCCGGCCCTGCTCTGGCTGGGAGCGGCCCTTCAAGGGATACAGCCGGTGTTGCCTGGGGGCGGGGACTCCCCATCCTTGCGGCCGCCCTAAGGCAGCCTCCCCCGCCCATGACAGTGACACACTCAGCAACTCGGCCCCCAGCCCCTTACCTGGGTGCTGCTCCGGCTGTGCCCTGGTGGGCTGTGCCACCCCCAGGTCGGCTCCTCTGTGTCCCCGGCACTGCTGCGTCCCCGGCACCGGCAGAAGCTTCCAGGCAGCAGCGCGGATCCTGGCCTGGCTGCTCAGTGCTGCCCCCAATGGCAGCTGAAAGAGCTGTACTTAAAGGGGCCGCGCCCAGTGGGGGCTGCACCGTGGAGCTGGGGATCGTGACTGCACAGGCTCCAATTTGGGGCCGTGCGGAGCACAGGGTCCCTGCAGCATCCCCAAGACGCAGACCTCAGCGTCTAAACAGAAGCCCTGTGGCCCGGAGAAGCCTGCTAGTCCCGCCAGTGTCACCCCCACACACTTGCCTGAGAGGAGGGGCCCCAAGCCCTGGCCTGGGCTGCAGAGATTGGTTAGGGGCATCTTGGAATTTGCATCTCCTGTTGGGCGAGGCAGGAGCAGATGGGCTTCTCCCTGCCCCACTGGCCTTTCCCCAGGCCCTATCTGCTTCGAGGCTGCCAGTGCCAAAATCTCGGTGGGTACCTGGGGCCAGATGGCCCCTGCAGCCTCCTGTGTCCCCAGGATGCCATCCTCTCTGGGTGAGGCCACTCCTGCATCCGGTGTCTCTGCCAGCCTGGGAAGGCCTGCACGTGACCTACCGTACCTGCCTGGTAACGTCCTCGTCCCACTCTGCCAGCCCCTCCCCAAGGCATTGGGCCTGGAAACGTTCTAGCTTGGCAGAGGAGTGGGTAGCCGATGCCCTTGGCTCCAAAGGGCAGGACCTACGCCATTCTGCGTTGTTCAAAGCAGGGCCCACTGAAACCCCAACATAGCTGTCCATGGTGTGATCCTGGCAAGTTCATGTACTGTTGACCCATTCCACACCAGGGGAACCTCTGAAGCCAACCCTGACCTCATGGGCTGTGGGCTCAGGGGCCAGGCTCCTAAGCTTGCTGTGGGCCACAGCACCTGTTCAGGGACCACAGCGACTGCCTCACACCCTGGGGTCACAAAGCTCCCAGGCACAGGAGCCTCCAGCTTGGCCATCCCCTCCCCTTCACTGGCGCACTCTTCCTGCCCGCCCTGCAGGGTTCTCATGGCAACAGTAGCTGTGGGGGTGGAGGCTGGGCGCTGCTGACAGCTGGAGGGGGCAGGGGCCTGAACAGGGGGGGGGGGGAAGGCAGTGCCGCAGGCGGCTGCCTGGGAGCCATGTAGACTGGACTTCCACCTCATGGGGCTGCGGACCCCCAAGTGTGCTGACTGCAGCTGCTGAGCCCTGGCACAGGTGGGCTGGGATGTACCCAGGGTGTGGCCAGGGTTGGTGGGATGTCCTCACAGCATTGCTGGGCAGCCTCCTGCCTCAGAGGACTTCCCTGACAACCCATGGCAGCCTGGGCCCGAGGCAGCGGGAGCAGGTGCAGGGAGAAGAACAGACACACACAGAGTGAAACAGGAGTGCTTTATGGTCTGAGTGGAGTGTTTGGGAGGCATGCCTCCCAGCTCCCGCCTGTGGGCTCACCTGAGCGGGGGCGCAGCTGAGGCCGCTGTGGGAAACAGCCCCCATCCCCAGGAGAGGCCCTGCATGCTGCCTTCGGTCTCTCGCCAGCCGTGCCTAGCGTGGGGCCTGGGCTGCCCTTTAGGGTGGGTCTGCACACCCGTGTTCAGGGCTCCCAGCCGGAAGCGGAGCCATAGGCATGCTGCGGCCCTGGGTGAGCGTGGAGGGCAAGCAGGTGCCGGGGCAGAGTGCACCCCGCAGCCAAGCGGCCCCTGCCCAGCCTCTGTAAACAGACCCTCATGCCCCGGGCCTCAGTCACATCCCTGAGAAACACTGGGGACTGGCGGCTCTGCCCCGAGAGGGCCAGGGTGTCCACCGAGCCTGGCCAAAGCCAGCTGTCCCCTCCCTCCTTGCAGAGCAGGCTCACACCGGGTCTGGAGGCCCAGTCCGGGGACACCAACGCCCGGCCTCTTCCAGCTCAGAAGTGCACACGGCAGCCACCGGGCAGCGGCAAAGGCGATGGTGCAGAGGCAAATGCCTCCCCAGGCAGTGACAGGCACGCCCCCCACCCCAGGGCGGCCACTGCCCCGGATGGCCTAGAGCTCCTCATAGTCGCCACCCCCAGGGTGGCGGCCGCCCGGGGCCCCGCCCCCCAGGAAAGCCTCCAGCTCATCAGCAGCCGTCCTCTCCCTGCTGCGTGGGGGCCGCTGCTGCCGCCGCCGCCGCTCCTCCTTGCCCTCCTCCTTGTCCTTGCTCTTCTTATGTTTGCTCTTCTTCTTGGCAGCCTTTTCTTCCTGCTGAGGAGCACAAGGAGGGGGGCGCCATGGAGTCACAGGAGGCCAGAGCCCCAGTCCCAGGACCGCATGCTGCCCAGCCCTGGCCCACCAACAGAGCCCTGGTCCCAGGACCACACACCGCCCAGCCCTGGCCTGTCAGGAAGGGGAGTAGCTGGTACCTCTTTGCCTTTCTTCTTCTTCTTCTTCTCCTTAGAGGAGGTTTTGCCCTCCTTACCTGCACAGACAGGACAGACAGTGGCTCAAACACAAAGCAGTGAGCCCCAGCCCTCCAGGAGGCCCTGCTGAGGGACAGGACCACACTCCTGCAGGGGGCTGCCAGGAGCATGGCACTGCCTCCTGGACTCAGGAAAGGCCCCCGGCCAGTGGCCAGCAGCTGGGAGGAGGCCCACGTTCTACCCAGACTGCAGCAGGCTGACCGCACTCCGGTGCCCCGCCCACCTTCCTCGCTGCTCTCCTTGGGCCCAGCCTCCTCCAGCCCCAGCCCGAAGAGGTCCGAGTCGTTCTTCAGTCTGAAGGTGGGGAGAGGGAGCTTGGGGGGCGGGGGCGGCTGAGCAAGGGCCTCGTCCTCGTCAGTCACATCGGAGGGGTCATCTCGCACGGGAAACTCACCCTGCAGCAGGGAGAGCAGCTGGTCAGGCCGTCGTCCCTCCCACGCCCTCAGGGGTTGTGGGGTCTCAAACCCAGCCGGAAGGCCCAAGTGTGAGGACATGAGACGCCTCTTCCAGAAGCCTCCTCCCACTGCACCCACCCACTGAGAGACTCTGGCCTCCTGGCTGACCTCTGCCCGGGGAGGACCCGTCTTACCACCCTGCGCTGTGTGTCTGACGCCTCGCTCTCAAAGTCGGGGTCATCCATGACAAAGGACAGCATCTGGGCAGCGATGGGCCCCTCGGGGTCACTCTCGGATGAGGACGCCTGCTCACCCTTCCCCGGCTCGATCTCAGCAGGGGGCCTGGTGCTGCTGTGCTTTTCCGGACCTGTGCGAACAGAGGCACCGCCTGGCCGGGGCGGTGCTGCGGCCCTCGTGGGAGCTGTCCCCCTCCGTGGCTTTGAAGCTGGTGTGGAGGACCTTTGTGGACAAGCAGAGGGTCAGTCAGGGTCCTCCGGAGGTGTCCTGAGCTGCCCCACCCCGGTCTCCAGGCCACACCCTGCGGACACCTGCCCTTACCACTTGGTCTCTGGCTCTGCGCACTGCTGGGGAGCCGGGGCAGGGCCTTTTGGGGGATCCCCCACTTCTGCTTCCTCCTCACTTGAAAGAGTGATGTTCTGACTGGGGACGGGACCAGCGGGTGGTGGGGAACTCCCACGTGGCTGGTCTTCGAGGTCCACATCGTCCTGGAACCCTGCCACCATCGGGTTGCTGCCCAGGGCCTCCGCATCACTGCAAAGCAGGGGGCAAAGTGGTCAGAGGCCACAGGGTAGGGATAGCCGGCCGGGCTCACAGGCCTTGGTTCCAGGCACCCTGGTACCCGGCACACCCTGGCCGTGGGACCACCCCGTCCCGGGTGCTGTGTTCTAGGGGAAGCCTCCTCGTGGCTGTCACAGGGCTGCTGAGAAAGGGGTCGGCGGCTCAAGGTCGGACACAGTGTTGCCCTGCGGTCGGTCCGTGGGCGAAGGATGTGGGGCCGCGCAGGTGGGCATTCATGGAGGAGGCGGGCCCAGCTCAGGGCCACCAGGCTTTCCATCTTTTGTGTATTTCTGGAGGAAGCTGCTGCCCCACAGCAATGGGTGAGGCTGAGGTGCTGAGGCCACTGGGGGTGGAGTATGTCCAATGGAGTCCACACCTGGGACCAAACGCAGGGCTTTGCTGCAGGCAGAGTTCGGGGCAACTTGGCAGAGTGGTGGGAGAGGGGCTGGCAGACAGATGGGGAGGCAGCTCTAGCTTCCAGCTCTAGGACCTGCAGGAAGCCGCCCCCAGCTCTGCAGCACCCGGGCCCTGGCCCTGCAGAGACAACATCTGGTGGCCTGAACCTCCCGTATCACCTGGAGTGGCCTTGCCAGTGGCCTCCGTGTGGAATCTGCCCACAGAAGACTCCAAGGTGCCCCTGTCCTCTCCAGGGTGTGGGCAGAGCCGGTGGCCAGGCCTTTCTGATGTCTGGAAGCCCCGTCTAAGCTCTTCCCTCATCTGCTCCAGCCACAGATCTGCTCTGTCCTCAGTCAACGGAGACCAGCCAGCCGGGCACCCCTTCTGCACCCTCAGGAAGCCAGCCCCACCTGCTGCTCGGGCACCCTAGAGGCTGGGGGCAATGGGAGAGGAGGTCCAGGCCCACCCCTCACCTGTCGCTGTCCTGCTGGGCAGCCTTGGCCCCCACCTTCTTCTCGTCCCTGGCGGGGGTTGCATCTTCCAGGAAGCTGCGGTCCAGGCGGTCGTCGGGAACGAAGTCCTCCACGCTCTGCACTGCTGCTGGGGCCTCCGCGGCCAGGACTGGCTCTGTAAACAGTGATGCCGGGTCCTCTTCTCAGCACCAGAACCCTCACTGCACCCAACCCCAAGCCAGGCCCACCAGGGACGTGCCCACGGGACTGGGACAAGCAGGAAGTACGGAGCGCTCCGAGACCCAGAGCCCCACCTGTGAGGGCGTGGGGGACCGGGACCACTTTGGGAGGGGCAGCTCCAGGGCCTACCTGGAGGTGGAGGGGCTGCCTCGGCGGCAGGTGACGTCCCAAACAGCCTCGAGATGATGCTGCGCCGCGGGGCGGGGGCTGAGGGGCACGCAGGTGGGGGCAGGGCCTCTGAGGGTGGTGCAGGGGGCACAGAGGATGGTGGGGCGGCATTGAGTGGCAGCTGTGGGGCGGGCTGGGGTGTGCCGGGGCTGGAGCTCCCCGTGGACACAGCGCCTGGAGGCACCACCGGTGACTGGGAGCCCGAGGATGGGCTCTGCCCGTTGGCCACCAGTGGGGACGCATGACCGCGGCTGCGAGCCTCCATCATCTCCAGGAAGCTGGAAGGCAGAAGGCAGGTGAGAAGCCTGGCTCCCCAGCCTCTCCCTGAGGCCCGCAGGTGACAGGGGGCCCTCTGCTGCTGCGGATAGGGCAGGGAAGAGTCGCCGTGTTCTGGGCCATCATCCCCACCCACTTCCAAGAGCAGCAGCGCTGGCCGGGCGGGGGTTCACGCCTGTCATCCCAGCACTGTGGGAGGCCGAGGCGGGCAGATCACAAGTTCAGGAAGTAAGACCGTCCTGGCTAACACAGTGAAACCTCGTCTCTACTAAAAATACAAAAAAATTAGCCGGGCGTGGTGGCGGAGGCCTGTAGCCTCAGCTACTCGGGAGGCTGAGGCAGGAGAATGGCGTGAACCTGGGAGGCGGAGCTTACAGTGAGCCGAGATCATGCCACTGCACTCCAGCCTGGGCGACAGAGCGAGACCCTGTCTCAGAAAAAAAGAGCAGCAGCCCCGAAGGGCGGGGACAGCAGGCACCAGCGTGCCTGTGTTCAGCTCCCCGGAGAGTCATTTCGGATCTGTTCTGAGGCACAGCCTTTGGGGGCTCCATGCAGAGGTGGCCAGATGGCAGCAAGTGGACCTTCCCGTGAGGGGGGATTCTGGGAAGAGGAGGGGGCTGGGGCTTGGTGGAGCACGTGCGGCCATCGCAGCATCCAGCTGACCCAACCCTCAGTCCCAGGAAATGCCAGGATTGGTTCAACAGAGAAGCGCCCATGCCGGGGGGTCCATTGTGGGAGCCAGAAGCCATGGGTCCCTCTCCAGGCATCAGACTGCCTTCCCTCTCAGTCTCTTGCTGTGTCTCAACCAACAGCCAGATCCGAGGTGACCCACAGGGCTCTCCCTCTGGAAACAGAGACCTGCTGGGGGGCCTCAGGAGGGTCGCTGATTCCGCGGTCCCTGCCTGGGGAGGCACCAGGGGAGGCACCAAGCCCCCAGCTGTGCAGGAGCCTGAGGCAGAGGACGGCCAGCTGTCCCACTGCCCGCAACCCCCGGGGCTGCGCGTGCTGCCCAGGCCCACTCAGGAGGATGCTCTGAGCTGCCCTCTGCTATCAAGGACCAGAGACCTCCATGTCCTGGTCCGTGTGCCTCTTCAGCACAGGGAGCTTCCCAAAGTCAAGGAGCTGACCAGAAAGCACACCCCACGCTGGCATCAATGTGGAAAGGTAAGCCCCTGACGGACAGGCAGCCCCACCAGGACTCCACCAGCATCAGCACCTGGCCACGGTCAGCGGTGCTCAGAGCGGCAGGCACGGCATGACCTGCACAAGGAGTCCATGCCAGGTGTGACTGTGAGGGGGCTGCTGGGGGCAGTGCCAACCTGAGCCCTCCTCCACCTATGCCCCAAGATGACTAATTTACCCCAAACGGGGGGCACTCCAAATGGGTTCCACTCCTTGGTGCAGCCCATGGCCCGGTACCACGGCCGCGCCTGCAGCCCCCACACTGCCCCCGCGGGCGGACGCAGCCACATACATGCCGTAGTTCTGGTCCTCCGTCTCCTGCTGCACCGACAGCTCCTCCAGTGTGGCGTCCATGTCCAGCTGGTTTGTCTCCAGCTGCCGCAGCAGCGTCTCCCTCTGCAGAAGGGGAGCACACAGGCCTGAGCAGGGGCCCTTCCTGCTGCGACTGCCCCAGCCCGACAGCAGCTGAGTGCACAGGGGACGCCTCCTGCTGACTAAACCAGGAGATGCTGCAGGGACGGGTGCTCAGTAACTCATGGAGCTCTGGGCTGGGCCTCAGTGGAACCACAGAAGCCCACATGATTCCTCTGCGGCGACCGGCACGACACCTACAGACTGCCAGCATGGCTTAGGGGACAGCTCTGCCACAGACATAAACCTCAGAGCACCCCACCCACACGCACCTCCAAGGGTGAAGCAGCCTCACCTTCACCTGGAAACCAAAGCCTCTCTGCTCCCCGCCGTGCACACCTCTGGTGGCAGGACACAGCCCCGGCCACGCATCGCCACCGTCCCCACACCCACAGGCAGCTGGCTCTGGAGCAAACCGCTGCCCTCCTGGTCTGGAGCCCCAGGCTGGTCTGTGGCCAGTCCATGTCACTGCTCACTTTAGATTCAAATTAAATACAAACGCCAGAGCCTCACGAACCCCTGATCTCAGGTGAGCCACTGCGCCTGGCCCCTTCTCTTTTTTAATAGAGATGGGGTCTCGCTATGTTGCCTAGACTGGTTTCAAATTCCTGAGCTCAAGTGATCCTCCCACCGTGGCCTCTGCTGAAATTACAGGCCTCAGCTACCTGCCTGGCCTCTTTTTTTTTTTAAATCAGCTTTTTCAGGTTGAAGAGATTTTTTTTTTTTTTTTTTAGAACAGGGTCTTGCTATATTTATTGCCCAGGCAGATCTTGAACTCCTGGGCTCAAGCTATCCTCCCGCCTCTACCTCCCTGAGAGCTGAGATTATAGGCGTGAGCCACCGTGCCCAGCCTGGAGGGGTTTTTAAAATAAAAATGTGGGCCGGGCGCAGTGACTCACGCCTGCAATCCCAGCACGTTGGGAGGCCGAGGCGGGCAGATCACGAGGTCAGGAGATCGAGACCATCCTGGCTAACCCAGTGAAACCCCGTTTCTACTAAAAATACAAAAAACTAGCCAGGTGCAGTGGCAGGCGCCTGTAGTCACAGCTACTCAGGAGGCTGAGGCAGGAGAATGACGGGAACCCGGGAGGCGGAGCTTGCAGTGAGCCGAGATCGCACCACTGCACTCCAGCCTGGGTGACAGAGCGAGACTCTGTCTCAAAAAAATAAAAATTAAAATAAAAATAAAAATTAAATAAAATAAATAAAAACGTGAGGCCGGGCGCGGTGGCTCACGCCTGTAATCCCAGCACTTTGGGAGGCCAAGGCGGGCAGATCATGAGGTCAAGAGATCGAGACCATCCTGGCCAATATGGCGAAACCCCATCTCTACTAAAAATACAAAAATTAACCAGGCGTGGTGGCACGTGCCTGTAATCCCAGCTACTTGGGAGGCTGAGGCAGAAGAATCGCTTGAACCCAGGAGGCGGAGGTTGCAGTGAGGTGAGGTCGCACCACTGTACTCCAGCCTAAGTGACAGACTGAGACTCCATCTCCCACCCCCCAAAAAAAGGATATTAAAGTCAGTAAGGTCGCCGAAAATGGCTACAACAACAACAAAATGTGATTTTAACCAAATGTGTGAACTCTGGATCCTACTCTGGATACTGACTAAATACCTGATGATCTGAAGAACTCTTTGAAGTCTTCGGAAATTTTAGTTTTTAAATTTGTTATTGTGGCTTATTTCTCCAAGAAAAACCTGTGACTTTAATGTGAGGTATTACATTATGTACTATGGTCAGGTTAAAAAAAACAGAACGGATTTTTTAGAGATGTGTTTGAAATATTTTTAGGTGACACAAAGGCCTGAAATTTGCTTCCAGGCCATCCAGGGGCAAGACAAAGAGGAAATGGGGGTCCCGCTGCTGAGACGGGTGAGGACATTAGATCTGCTTGAGCACATCCATAGCAAAAGGAGAGTGACACACAGCTCAGCCCTACGCTTCCAGCTCAAGACTGTCCAGGGCCCCGTGCTCTCCCTGGGAGGCTCTGGAAGCGTTTGGAGGGTAAACCATCAGGGAATGGAGCAGCGAGCAGTGGGGAGCTCTGCAAGGAGTAACCAACCCAGTGATGAGGGGACGGCTCTGCAGGAAGGACGGGCCTCCCCAGTAGTGCTGGCACCGCCCAAGTCTGACTGCCAGCCTTCCTTCCCACCGAAATGTCCCCAGCAGCAGTCCCAGCCTGCAGGCGTCCTCACTTCTTCTCACACCAGGAGGACAGCACAGCCCCTTCCCTGGGCAAGCCTGACATCCTTCTGGAGAAAGACCAAGGCTGCTACAGCTGCGGCTGGGCCCCAGGTCCCCCAGACCCAGTCAGGGCAGCCCAGGGCGAGGAGGTTCAAGCCTCGTCGTTTGCTGGGCTCCTTTGCAGCCACAGCTGGCCTGGCCCCTTGTTTCTACAAGGGAAGTTGAGTTTAGTCCACAGACCAAAGTTGGTTCCCTGATTTTGACACAAGCACCAGGGAAATGTGAGATGTGAACAGCGAGTACCTCGGTGGCTCACGCCTGACATCCCAGCACTTTGGGAGACTGAGGTGGAAGGATTGCCTGAGCCCAGGAGTTTGAGGCTGCAGTGAGCCATGATTGCGCCACTGCACTCCAGCCTGGGCCACACAGCAAGACCTTATCTCAACAAACGAAAGCAACCAGAAACACTGGGGGAAACTGAGCAAGGGGTCTCCGCAGAGGTGGAGGGGCTCCTGGAACTGGGTCTAGCCCTCAGGACCCTGCACCCTCTGCCACCCAGAGCAGGCAGGCGCAGTAGAACGTTGGGCCCTTGCCAGCAGCCAACCTCTGAGCAGGCCCACAGCTTTCTCAGGCATTAGGAGGGAGGCCTGTCCAGGGAGACGCCTGGAAAGAGGTGAGAGACCAGCATCCACTCCACCCCACACGGTGAGTGCTTACCTGAAGCTGCAAAAATGGGATATTGAAGAACTTATGAAGGTACTTTAGGCCAAAGCTGTTCTTCATGGAAGACTCAGCGTAGCGGAAGTAGGAGGAACCTGGAGGTCTGCTTTCAGAAAGGAAGAAAGATGCAAGAGAAAGACCCTTGCCCCGGTGCCAAGGACCACCCCTGGGCCCACGGCTGCCGGTCCGCACTGCCCTCCCTCCTCCTGCAGGCTCCTGAGGCCACAGGACCCTACTGAGCCCTGCTAACCAGCTAAGCTGAGTGCCCTTCTGCAGGTGACCCCCACGGTGCCAGCACCTCACCCCGGCACACAGTTCCCAGCACAGTTCCTGGCAATGCCACTGGGGAGACCCAGGCTTCAGTGAGCCCCACGCCGCGGCATGACCTGACATCCCCTGGCCCCCGTGCTAACGCTAACCCCTCCCCCGGCCTCTGCCTCAGCACCCTCACGCACCAGAGCACCAGGCAGGGTCCCTTGGGAGCAGGGCCACTGCACTCACCTGTCCAGGTTGTCGATGAAGTCACGCACGTCGTCCGGCAGGATGACTCGGTGCTCGCCCATGTCCCGGTAGTTCCCCAGCACGCACACTGGCACATGGGTGGGCACTTTCGGAAGCTCCCGGAGAATATAATTGAAGGTCCTCAGGGAACAGGTGAGGACCTGGCTTAGTTTCAGCTCTGCGACGCCCTGTCCCTCCCTGGGAAGCTACTGTGTGCCCAGGCCCGAGGACGGTGGCTGCTTCTCATTTCCAACATCCCACCCACCGGAAGCACGCCTCGAGCGTGCAGAGCGAGAAGTGCCTCGAGGGCCTTCGCACCCCTCCCAGCCTGCAGCCCCCGCCCATCCCTCTCCCTGAGGGACATACTTGACCGCACCCCACACTGGAATGCCCCTGCCTGTCCCTGCCTTCCCTCAGAGCGCCCCGCGTCCACATCCCTACAAAACCACCTCTGCCTTTGCCTGCGTCCACCCTCATCCCACACTGTCCTCTGTGCCCCTCGGCATTGACCCCGTGGCTGCTCGTCCAGGCTCCCTGCCCACCGGGGAGGCCAAGGACACCCTGGGGTGCCCCTGCTACTGCCGGTCAAGCGGCTGTTTGGAGAGCCTTGTCTTAAGCAGACATCTCCGGGAACGGATGGCAAGTCTCCAGAATCTGCCTGTCGCGGAGCTGCCAGTTTCTCAGCTGCACAGTTTTCCAAAAGGCTTGTGAAGAAATAACTAGCGCTTCAAGTGACAAAACTTCCCGACTGAGAGAAAGCCAACACAAGTGGGTGAAAAACGCAGCATCCTAAGTTTGTAACTCCGTTTTCTTTCATTTGCACAGTCATTTAAACCAGTCCCTCACCAAGGCCGGCCCAGGGGCACCTCTGGTCCTAAGCAGGCGGCCCTCTGGTGTCTCCTGCTCCTCGCAGCTGTGAAGGGCCTGCGTGGCGCTTGAAGCCGCTGTCTGAGCCAGTGGCGTTTTCCATCCTTCATGCTGGGCAGCAGGGGCTCCAAAGCATTGCTACCACAGGCATCGCCCACCCAGGCTGGTGCTGCCAACAGGGTCTCTGGGCCCACAGGTGAGTGCCTTTGCCACGTCTTCCCAGGCTGGCTGGAGTCTCGCTGTCCCTCCTGCCCGCTCCTCACATGGCAGCCCAGGCGGATGCAGCTCCCTCCAGGCCGTTCCCGCGGCAGCAGTGGGAGGTGTCATGGAGGCCACTCTGCGTCCACACTCAACTTCGCTTGGGAAAAGCCACTTCCCACCCACCAGGCCAGCAGGCTGGCCTAGACAGGAGAGGCCGGAGGGAGAGCAGCACCACTGCTCGCCCAGGGGAGGCTGGCGTGTGTGCACCCGAGCTGGACTCGTGCCCCGGGTGGGTCCACCAGCCCCGTGCGTAGCTCTCCTGCCATCCGTGTGCCACACCCCCACCAAGGGCTCTCCCGAGGGTGCCTGCAGTCAGTCCTTGGCGGTGGTGCTGCAGGCTGGGAGGGCAGGCAGGGTTCCCAGCATTAGCAAAGGTTGGCAGAGGCCCAGAGCATGGCCGGCCAGGCGCTGCAAGCCACCCTCAGGCCTGGGCTGCTGATGCATGCTAAGTGTGCGGCCCCGTGACAGGCGGTGTGCTTAACCCTGGTGTGGGGGTCTTCCCAAGTAAGAGAAGCTGCTGACCAGGCCCCCAGGCCAGACCCACTGCTGGGAAGAGCAGATGCCTGGACACGTCGAATGCGCTGCTCCTAGTGCTCCAGGCACTGGCTGTGGGTAGGAGGGGCCCCGCGCCAGGAGGCTGGTCTCCACAAGGCCCTCGTTCTTCTAGGAGCCTTGCACTAAGTGTGTGTCTGCAGCACCCCCACGCTGGGGCTCCAGTGCGTCCTGGGGGACACTGCACTTCTGAGGAGCTGAGTGGATCCCACGTGACTCCACACAGTGGCCTCTGGGCGCTTGTGCCTAGTCCCCCAGAGATAGTCCTGAGTGCCACTGCCCTTAGCAGATTTTGCTGTCATCTTCTTGCTAGAATGAATCTTGGCGTGGGTTCTCCTGGGTCATGGAAGACGGAGGTCTCGGGGAGCCCTCAACACAAGCAGCCACTTGCTTCTGCCAAATCCCAGATGGTTTTTCAGGAAGAATAATGGGGCTATGGAAGGTACATGCCTTGCACCAGACACCTTTCACAGCCGGCCGCGCCATCCCGCCCCATATGCACAGACATAGCTGTTGCCTAGTCCGACATCCAGGCCACTGCCCCTCGTGGCTGAGCCGCCACAGCTGCCCAGCAAGAGTCCCTTGGCCCTGCAGAATGATGCCACTCTAACCGTTATCTGCTGCACAGAGAGGGCGCCCAAGGGGCTAGGGGGTGACAGTTACCGGCAGCCGCCCCGCCAGCTCCCGCTTACCACTGCTTGGTGATGTCAAACATCATGACCACGCCGTTGCAGCTCTTGTACACGTCCAGGAACTCGGCATCCAGGGCCATGTCGGACTCCGCCTGGGGACGGAGGGAATAGTAATGAGACTGGCCCAGGATGGGCCCCACCCATGTGGCCCGCAGTCCTGGAAAAGGCTAGATAGTTTTCTAATCTGGAAAGATAACGGCCAGTTCCATTTGGAAACAATACGCTGAAGAGATGGGATAGCTAAACACAGGTTTGCCCCAAAGGGTCTGACAGTCAACCCCAGCCTCGCTGGCAGCTCCCTGAACAAGCCCCCTACTCAGGACCTCACACTAATCACAGCAGTGTCTGCCCCAGGCCTCACGGATGACCAAACCACCACTCGAAAATAGAGGCAGGCGCCGGACTACCAGCCGCCCTCGGCTAGATGTGCATTCCGGAAGCTTCCAGTGCCCACAAACAGGGCTGGCTGCAGTGCTGTGGGCAGAGTCACTCCACCCCATGCTCTAAAGGGAGTGGGATGCACTGCACGGAGGGTGCGAGGCCCCAGGTGGCTCCAGGGAGAGAAACATGCTCACAGCCACCACTGCAAGATGTGTCCTGTGCTTTGAAGGGCCGAGCCCACTGTGACTGGGATAAAAGTTTGGCGAATTCACTTAAATACTTCTCAGGTCACTCAAATGCCAATAGGGGTCAGTCCAACACGATGTCTAGTACAGGTGAGCCAGCCACCAGCCACCAGCCACCCCCAAATGCAGCCATGGCAGTGTGGGGTTTGCGGAGCAGGTGGGAAGCCCAGCGGTCCCCGTGGCCACAGCATAACTGGGGTGCTTGGGGTCAAAGGCATGTGAAGTGTTGGGCACCGGCTCACGCACCCCAGGGCCCTGAGCCACTGCTACCCGCTGTGCACCGGGCACTCACCTCCTGGGGGTCGTTCTCCATCTTTAAGCCGTCGCCTCGCTTTTTGCATTTTCCTTATTTAAAAACAAACAAAAATTACGAGGTGGAATCCCTGGGCCACAGGAGGAGCATGGGTCCCCCTTGGCCACTCAGTCCCCAGCTCTGGCAGGTGCCCTGCTCCACCACCCCAAGCAGCCTGCAGTGCGGGCACCCACGAACTCTGGAGCAGTGGGACCTGGGCAAGGCCCTGCTGTCAGCTTTGGGGGCAGGGCTGGGCTGGGCCTGGACAGAAGGTGCTAGATGGGGCCCATGGGCTCAGCAGCTGCTGGACAGGCTGCGGTGGGATGGCCCACAGCCCTGCACCAGGAGGGTTTGCTGCTGAAGGAAGGGCCCCCTCCCCAGCTCCCCCAAGTCCAGGGCGGGAGGAAGTACAAGGGATATGGTGGGAAAGTGAGGGGCCTCCCCCTGGGGTGAAAGTAGGGAGATGAGCGCACAGACTCTCAAGGCAACAACCAACACGGGAGAAAAGGAGAGGAGGGCAGGGGTCCCAGCCCTGAAGAGGCCTGGGGAGGCAGGAGGGCAGCTGTGTGGTGTCCACGGTCTGGGTCCCCCTGAGCCTCTGCCATCAAGGTCACCATGGCTCTCCTGACCAGTGAGGGGCCATGGCCCCTCCCTCTATCTCCACAATGCTGACCTGAGGAGAAAGGGCTCCAGACCATCCTGGGAACTCTGGGGATCCCAGTCTTGAAGTCACGGACTGGGACAACAAACAAAACCCCTAAGAACAGATGGGGCTCATGTGTTTAAAACGCCACCTCCACTTTATTCCACAGCTTGTTTCTGAACTGCTCACCACGATGTGACCCGGTAGGGGGGTCAGCCCCTCCCTCACAAGGTACAGGAGACAGAACCAGCCCAGAGGAGCCTGCCTAGTCCAGCCACAAAGGGCTCAGCACAGCACTGCTGGCTGTCTGGGGCCTGTACCCAGGAAGGATGCCCACAGCCTAACCAGCACCCCCCTGGGCTAGCCACTGAGGCCGGTCGGATCTGCTCTGGGGAGAGCAGGCAGAGCTGGAGGGGAGCCGGGCCCTGGCTGTCCAGGCGGAGGTGAGGGATGTCGGCTCACCTTGAGGCTCCTCCATTCAGCCTCCCTCTGGGCAGCCTGCCCCGTGCAGCCCCCGCTGAGCCTGATGGCCTCACCTTCCCCTTCCCCTCGAGAACTCACCAGGTGACCATGAGGCCTCAGCACCCTCCACTGCGATCCCCACTGGCCGCCCCGGCTGCTGTGGGCGGTGCTCCCACCTTGCACAGTGGGCACGGAGTCAGGGTGGCAGTGGAAGGCATGCCAGGCCCCGTCATGGAGCTGGGGGGACCTTTCCCTCCCGAGGGGCCCTGCTTTAGGCTGAGTGAGACTCCCCCGTGGGTGCTAACAGGTGATGCAAGGGTACACATGCAACCCCAGAGGAAGCCCAGCACTGGGCCGGGCGGCCTCTGCACCCAAAGGCCTCCACGGCAGCCCCAGGCACGACAGGCCACCAGGAGGGGGTCCCATCCTAAGCCATGGAGACCACACCCATCACACTGCCCAGATACGAACCCCTGTCTATGGGAAGCCTGTGCCCGCTCCACACACGGGCAAAGCCAGGGAGCCAGAGCTGGAGGGAGGCACAGGAAATCTCTGCAGCTCTGGAAGGGACCCTGCCCCGGATGGGGGAAGCATCCCAGGATGCGAGTCAGGGCAGCCCCGTCTGAGACACCTGGGGGCCACAGGCAGATCTAATAGCTTCCCCTCACAGTGGGGACGGGGACAATGACGGGGCAGTGGGTGGCCACCTCTAACGCCAGAGACCACGCAGAGCTCTACAGACACAGCATCTGGAACACCAGGTCAGCAAGGGCTACACAGAGTCCAGCGCAGCATGGTGGGAGCCGCAGGGGCCCAGCACCCCTGCAGGAACTGCATGAGAACCCGTCTCTGACCCCCCATGGCCAAACCCACCCCAACAAAACACAGGTGGAGGAAGGGGAGCATGCGCCATCCAAACAGACACCATCACACAGAGACCGCGACCGCCTTTCCAGCAGAACCTCGTAACGAGGCCACAGCCAGGCCTGCAAGGCTGGGGCGTGCATGTGGCCAGCCCTGCACACACCACACATGCCCACAGACCACGGGCCCGGGGAGGGCCCTGCACACACACACCACACATGCCCACAGACCATGATCCCGGGGAGGGCCGTGAGCTCCACTCTGAGGACTTAGAGGAATTTGTGACCTTGTGGCTGAGGAGGAGACCAACGATGTCGAGGACACCCCAGGGGCTGCTGCAGCCCTCCCATGGCCCCCAGAGCGCGGGTCTGTGTGGCTGGGGATCCCTGGCGGGAACACATCCCTCTAGACAGCGTGTCTCCAGAGCGCAGGAGCTGGGTCCTCAGCTGTGGGCATGGGGCCACCTGGTGCTGGATCGCTCTGCCAGGCAGTGCAGGAGGGCTCCCAAAATAGCACCCCAGGCCTTGGGGCTCAAAGCACACCCCCGGCCGCACCTGCCACTGCCGTCACTCAGAGGCGGGAGGGATGCTAACTAAAGCAGCAAAGCATGTGGTGCCACAGGAGGGCTGTGCTGTGCCGCGGGGTCACCAATGGATGTGGAGGGGAGCAGAGCAGCAAGACTCTGGGCACCGTCCACGAGGACAGTGGGTGATGCATGGGCACCGGGGGAAAGAAAGGAAGCCTCTCTGCACAGAGCACACAGTCCCAGAGAGAAGCAGACACAGAACACAGACGCCTCACCTTTGTCCACCACATCCCAGACTTCAACCTTCACGATGTCATCCGTGGCTGAAACAGGGAGAATCCTAAGATTAGTGCCCAATATGAAGTTCCCAGGGTGGCACAAAGCGGTCAGGCTGGTGTGGTTGTCTGTGCGCCGCAGGCACCAGCTCCCACCAGGACTTCCGAGTGTCCAGAAACCCAGGATGTGCCCCCTCAAGATGACCACACAGGGAACGGCTCCTTCAGGCCTCCGCTCAGACACGGCTTCAGCGACAAACTGAACGCACGGTATCTCCCTCCACAGCCCCAGTCCCGGGCACGGCTCCCTACCTCCTCAGTCCCGATCCTGGGCACGGCCCCTCCCTCCCGGGCCCCGATCCTGGGCACGGCCCCTCCCTCCCGGGCCCCGATCCTGGGCACGGCCCCTCCCTCCCGGGCCCTGATCCTGAGCACGGCCCCTCCCTCCCGGGCCCTGATCCTGGGCACGGCCCCTCACTCCTGGGCCCCGATCCTGGGCACGGCTCCCTACGTCCTCGGCCCCGATCCTGGGCACGGCCCCCTCCCTCCTCAATCCTGGGCACGGCCCCTCCCTCCTGGGCCCCGATTCTGGGCATGGCCCCTCCCTCCTGGGCCCCGATCCTGGGCACAGCTCCCTACGTCCTCGGCCCCGATCCTGGGCACGGCCCCCTCCCTCCTCAATCCTGGGCACGGCCCCCTCCGTCCCCGATCCTGGGCACGATCCCCTCACTCCTCGGTCCCGATCCTGGGCACGACCCCCTCACTCTTCGGCCCCGATTCTGGGCATGGCCCCTCCTTCCCGGGCCCCGATCCTGGGCACGGCTCCCTCCCTCCCCGGCCCCGATCCTGGGCACGGCCCCCTCCCTCCTGGGTCCCGATCCTGAGCACGGCTCCCTCCCTCCCTGGCCCCGATCCTGGGCACGGCCCCCTCCCTCCCTGGCCCTGATGCTGGGCACAGCCCCCTCCCTCCCTGGCCCCAAACCTGGGTCCCTCCCTGCAGGGCCCCGATCCTGGGCACAGCCCCCTCCCTCCCTGGCCCTGATGCTGGGCACAGCCCCCTCCCTCCGGGGCCCCGATCCTGGGCACGGCCCCCTCCCTCCCGGGCCCCGATCCTGGGCACGGCCCCCTCCCTCCCGGGCCCCGATCCTGGGCACGGCCCCCTCCCTGCAGGGCCCCGATCCTGGGCACGGCCCCTCCTGGCCTCAGCACACTGGAAGGTGACCCTCCTGGCCTCAGCACACTGGAAGGTGACCCTCCTGGCCTCAGCATACTGGAAGGTGACCCTCCTGGCTGGGTGGATGTCTGTTTTGCTCATAGTCTCCATGAGAGCAGGTGCGCTCCTGCTGACGGGTGTGAACAAACGAGCCTACCCGTGTCACCTTCTCCTGACCCTGTTTCTGCATCCAGTGACTGGCCTCTCGTTCACTTTGAGGGAGTGGGATGTAAGTAACCACTGAGGGTGGAGGCCGGACCCTCCCTTCGGAGCCACCTGACAGGTCCCAGGCCTGCCCCATGCTGCACCATCACAGCTGGGCCTGCTGGTGCCGCCTGCTCCTCCTGAGCACCCATGACTGTGCCCTATTGTGGGGCATGTTGGGGTCTGGGGGAGCCGATGGATGGAGCCTCCCGCCCACCCAAGGATTCCAAGGGGAAGGGAGAACCAGAGGGGAGAGGCACACCCAGGCCCCTCACACCGCCAGGCATCTGCACACCAACCGCATCTGCACACCAACCATATCCACGTCGCCTGAGCAGAGGGGCATAAACGCTGCCATCAGCCTCACCCCAAACCAGGAAGAGAGTGCGGTGGCAGGTAGAGCTTCTGCGTGCCGGCGCTGTGGGCTCTGTGTCCTGTCAGCCCAGCACCACCCTCCCAGGCCTTGAGAGCAGCAGATGCCCAGCAACTCCACGGCTGTTCTGCACAGAGTCCAGGCGTCAGCTGTCACCATGTGGCAGCTGAAACTCATCTTTGCCTCCCACTAGTAACCCACTAGGTTTTATTTTTTTTTTTCAGTGAAAAGGAATAGTGTTTAAAACAGCCCTGGCTAAGCGCAGTGGCTCATGCCTGTAATCCCAGCGCTTTGGGAACCCAAGGCGGGTGAATCACATGGTCAGAGTTCAAGGCCAGCCTGGCCAAGATGGTGAGACCCGTCTCTACTAAAAATATAAAAAATCAGCCAGGTGTGATGGCGGATGCCTGTAATCCCAGCTACTCAGGAGGCTGAGGCAGAGAATTGCTTGAACCTGGTTCCAGTGAGCTGAGATCTCACCACTGCACTCCAGCCTGGGCGCCAGAGGAAGATTCTGTCTCAAAAATAAACAAACAAACAAAAAACAGACCAAAAAACAAAGAAACAAAAAACAGCCCCAAGGCTTTTTGCTGTCAGGATTCTGAACACACAGGGCAGCTGCTCTGCCTCCCACAGCACGAGCCTTGGAGCCGCCACAGCTATCACCTCCCCCACCTTCCTGCATCTACCCAGGCCCCCGCACCCAACTGAGACCCTGGGGAGGGGTCTATCCCACCATCCAGCCCACCTCACTGAATCTTTTAAGTGACACAAACTTTCCGCAGGAGCAAGGCTCAAAGGTCTTATTACTGTTTCTGGTGCTGGCGCAGATGTGGGGCTAGGCCCAAGAAAAAACACCACGTGCTCCAAGAGGGCACAGGCCAGGGAGTGCTCCTCAGAAGACACCTTCTTTCAGTCCCCCAGGCGCCCGCGTGCCCACTCACCTGCGGCCACTGCTGTCCCGAGCTGAGCCTCCCAGCTCAGCGGGGCTTCATGAAGCTCACTCAGGCAGCAGGGTGATCCACCCCAAAAGAGCCCCCAGAGTTCACTCCGGGACCCCCACGCAGGCAGGGTCCCTCACGGACAAGAACTCTTTGGGGAGACCCCCTCTGGGGAACGCATCTCGCAGGAACCAGGGCCAAGGAAGTGGAGGCCTGGAGCCCGAAGCCCCGAGGCGCCCGCCACACTCACTCTTGTAGCTCCAGTGGATGCTGGTGACCTGGATCTCCTGCGTGGGGATGTACTCCTCCACGAACGGCCGGCCCTGCAGGCGGTGCCACAGTGCTGTCTTGCCCGTGTTCCTGTCTCCCCGGATCACTATCTTCACTGCGGGCACGAAGAGTAAAAGAAAAGGCCAATCAAACGAACCGAATCCAAGTTGCAGCTTTGAGAGCAATTACAAAGAGTGCCGGTTCTGCTGCCACCTGTTTATCTTTCTTGCCAGAGTCAGACTCAGGAGACCGGCAGGCAGGGGAGGAAGACCATGGGTGGGAACCATGGTGACCTCTCCCATCAGGAGGACACCTGGCAGCACACAGAGCATCGATGGCGACCGGGGCCCAAGGGGCAGCTAGGGGTCCTCCTGGGCTGCTGGAGGCCACAACCCGGGTCAGGCTTTCTACTTGGAGGACATGGTTCTGCCCTAGAGCCCACCCCGGGACCCCTGGGGACCCTCAGGGTCAGGGGCCACCGCCTGCGGAGCTCGCCACAGCACCCCAGGCTTCTGCGGATTGCTCCTAACCAAGTTTTCTGCAGCCCTGGTGTCTTCAATGCACAATTCTGCAGAGCATGGGGCCTGCATCCCAGCTCACGCACAACATGTGTGTGCCGGGTAGCCCCGGGCCTGGGCCTCCTTGCTCCGGGGCTGGGTTGGAGAGACCACTGCCCAGCTTGTTTGGAAAATGTGACGGGGGGGAGGGAGGGCAGCTGGGAGGGGAGGGCGAGGTTAGCAAAGGCAGGAGGTGGCTCAGAATGGGTGGACAGGGGGATGGACCTGGCACCCGACTGGACTAAGAACAGACAGCCTGTGGAGGTGTTAGAAGAACAAGATGGAGAAGGACCGAGAAGCTGTGTGGACGCAGCAGCCAGCAATGAGACAGCTGCCCTCGGACCCGGGCAGACCCCGAGCTTCTCACATGGGTCTCGGTGAGCCCACCGTAGCCACGGGGGAGAGCAGAAGCCCTGGCCGTCCTCCGCGTTTCCATGAGGGGAGAGCCAGGGAAGGCGTCGGGAAGAGAGCTGGTGGCGGGGAGCAGAGGAAACCGAGGAGCAGGTCTGCAGGCTCCTCCCACTTCCCCACGTCTCAGGTCTCCCGCCGGCTCCCCGCATCTTCGGTCAGGTCTGCAGGCTGCTCTCGCTCCCGCAACTCCCCACCAGGTTTTCTGTCAGGGGGACCCCACGCTCCCAACACAGAGGGCGCCCGGCTCGAAGCTCCGAGGGGCCCTGGGCTGTCCCTGTGGCCCACCCGGCTCCTCTCTCCTGGCCCCGTTCCCTCCTCCTGCCTCAAGGCACCTGTTTCCACAATCGTTTCTTTTCCCCCGAAGCTTATTCATTTCCTCACCCATTCTAGGTACCTCAACGTGCCAGCTTGCAACACCTCTGGCCAGATTTCACGTGCCGGCCCGCCCTGCGACAAAGCCACCAGAGGGGACCCGGGAGCCCTCACGGCCACAGCGGCCGCACACGCCGGGGCAGCCAGGCGGCTCCGCGCTCCTCCCGGCCGAGCCCACCCTGCGAAGGCGGGGCCCTGTTCCCCTCCCTCCCCGCGGCGGACCTGGAGACCGAGGCCGCCCGCAGCGCCCCCAGCCCGGCGGCCCTGCCTGTGGTGAGCAGCAGCCCCAAGCGGAGCCGCAGGCGCTCAGCGCAGCCGGAGGGAGTCAGGCCCCCGCGAGACGGCAGCGGCGCCCTCCCTCCTCCGTCCCGAGGCAGGAACCCGGGCGCAGCCCACAGCTCTAGGCTCAGCGTGAGCAGCAACCCAGGCTTGCAGGGACTGCCCGGGCCGCGCACGCACAGCCTCGCTGGGCCCGCGAGAGAACGGCGGCGCCATCCACGTCCGTTCCGCGGCCCACGGGCTGTGCTTCCCGGTGCGTCCACATGCGGTGGTCCCGTCCCGGGTCTTTCCCGGGGGTGGGGCGTTAGCGACGCGGAGAGCTGAGACGTCCCAGCGACCGCCCGTCTTCCCGCCGCCAGAACCAACGCGCTCACGTCCCCGGGTCCCGGCATCTTGGCTCCTCCACCCTACACATCAGAAAATCCCCTCCCTTCATTCTGTAAAACTGGCACATGCTCTTTGTAAGGAACTTAAACAAGGTAGACAAGCACAGAGATTCATGTGAACAAAGCCTCCCAATGCCACTGCCGGAAACCTGCCCTCATGAACGTGGGAGCTCATTCCACGCATCTGGTCCGTTTTGCTTCTCCAGGATGTCGGAGTTAGGGTCGCACCGAATAATTTCTCTCGCTCAGCGATATGCACTTAAGGCTCCTGCAGGCCTCTCCACGGCTTGAGAACATTTTTTCAGGACTAAATAATGTTCCACCATCTGGATGCACGGAGTTTATCTAGTGAAGTTCATCTAGTGAAGGACGTCTTTCTTGGCCGCACTTTTCCTTGAATTTCCATTGATATTTTTCTCTTTTCGTAATTTACATTATTTGAATACTGCAACACTCACACTCAGCCTCTATTTTTTTTTCCGTATCATTACCTGTCATTTTGCTGTGAGATTTTCCCTTTATTTTCTAAACCTTCCTTTGATTTTATTTTTGCTTTTCAAAAATTATTATTGGCCAGGCACGGTGGTGACTCACGCCTCTAATCCCAGCACTTTGGGAGGCCGAGGCGGGCGATCACTTGACGTCAGGAGTTCCAGACCAGCCTGGCCAACATGGAGAAACCCTGTCTCTACTAAAAATACAAAATTACCCGGGCATGGTGGTGGGCACCTGTAATCCCAGCTACTCGGGAGGCTGAGACAGGAGAATTGCTTAACCCCAGGAGGTGAGGTTGCAGTGAGCTGAGATTATGACACTGCATGCCAACCTGGGCAAGAGAGCAAGACTCTCTCTCAAAAAAAAAAAAAAAAAAAAGTATTGTTTTTACAAACAGGGTCTCGCTGTCACCTAGGCTAGAGCCAGACCAGTGGCACGATCCTAGCTCACTGCAGCCTCAATCTCCTGGGCTCAAGTGATCCTCCCACCTTAGCCTCCCAAGTAGCTCGGACTACAGACACCTGCCAGTTAGTTTTTTTTTTTTTTGAAGACAGAGTCTCACTCTGTCGCACAGGCTGGAGTGCAGTGGTGTGATCTTGGCTCACTGCAACCTCCACCTCCTGGATTCAAGTGATTCTCCCGCCTCAGCCTCCCAAGTAGCTGGGACTACAGGCACATGCCGTCATGCCTAATTTTTTGTATTTTAGTAGAGCCGGGGATTCACCATGTTGCCCGGGCTGGTCTCGAACTCCTGAGCTCAGGCAATCCGCCTGCCTTGCCCTCCCAAAGTGCTAGGATTACAGGTGTGAGCCACTGCGCCAGGTCTAGTTTTTTTTTACTATGTTTTTCTTAGAGAGACGGGGTCTTGCTTTTTGCCCAAGCTGGTCTCAACCTCCTGGGCTCAAGCAATCCTCCTGCCTCAGCCTCCCAAAATGCTGGGATTACAGGCATCAGCCATGGCACCAGTGAGGATGGTCCACTTTAATCTACGTTCCTTGAGCCTTTAGGTCCAGAGAATTTCTGTGAGTCTGCGGTAACCCTTCACATTTCTACCTGTTCTCTTTCATCTTGAAGTATATTCTGCATAGCATCACTGTAGCTGCGGCAGGTAGGACTAAAGCTAGAGCGGCTTTCTTAGTTTACCTAGGGTCTTGTTTACCTAGTGTCTTGTTTCCAACTCCTAACTTTCAACACCATTGTTTTGGATGTGTCTCTTATACACCACATAGCCAAATTAAAGAAAAAAATCCCTCGAATCTCACATTCTTTCGAGCTGGTGAGTTCTGTTTACTGACAACTGCTGCTGCCATGTTATTTTATGATTTTTAGTTCCTGCTCTGGTTCACTCGCACCTCCCCCAGCCTTCTATGCCTTTGATTAAAGCAGGAAAAGGTGGTTTTCAGAAAGTATTCTTTCTGCCTGGTATTTATTTGGAAGGTTTGCAACCTGTTTCTACATTTTGAATGGTAACCTTAAATTTTCAACACTCACATCTGCTGCAATAAAGTCTGAAGTTAACACATCTCTTTCCTTTCTTCTTAATAATATAGAGATCTCAATGCTTTGACTGTCCAGCTTCACCCTGGGCTGTGTTACTTCTGGTAGTTTCTTCTTTTCTATTCCCTATATAAATCATGATGACCACTGATTTAACATAACCAATGCTGCTTTTCTTTTCTTTTGAGATGAAGTCTTACTCCGTTGCCCAAGGTGGAATGCAGTGATGCAATCTTGGCTCACTGCAACCTCCACCTCCCGGGTTCAGGCGATTCTCCTGTCTCAGCCTCTCAATTACCTGAGCCTACAGGTACATGCCACCACGCCTGGCTAATTTTTGTAATTTTTTTAGTAGAGATAGGGTCTCACTATGTTGGCCAGGCTGGTCTTGAACTCCTGACCTCATGATCCACCTACCTCGGCCTCCCAAAGTGTTGGGATTACAGGTGTGAGCCACCACGCCTGGCCCACCAAATGTATGTTAATGTATGAAAATGAAATGTATTTCATTTTCACCACATATTTACCAGTTTCTTTACCTTTGCTTTTTTTTTTTTTTTTGAGATGGAGTCTTGCTCTGTTGCCCAGGCTGGAGTGCAGTGGCGCAATCTCAGCTCATTCCAACTTCTACCTCCTGGGTTCAAGCAATCTTGTGCATCAGCCTCCTGAGTAGCTGGGATTACAGGTGCCTGCCCTCACACCCGGCTAATTTTTGTATTTTCAGTAGAGACAGGGTTTCATCATGTTGGCCAGGCTGGACTCAAACTCCTGACCTCAAATGATCCACCTGCCTTGGCCTCCCACAGTGCTGGGATTAGAAGTGTGAGCCAGCACCCAGCCCTCTTTGCTTTTTGAATCCCTCTCCTGTCTTTCAAGCTCAACTCCACCTCTCTGAAGAATAACCTTCAGTATTTATTTCTACAAGAGCCTTTGCACAGTGAGCCTCAAACTGCGGCTGAAATGGAGCCAGTCACATTGCTCTGAAGTGCTCATCAGGCAGAGACCTCAGCCTGCATCGGCCCTCCCACAGCCCGCATCAGCCCCCCTCAGCCCGCGTCGGTCCCCCTCAGCCCGCGTCGGCCCCCTCAGCCCGCGTCGGCCCCCTCAGCCACAGGTTT